TAATGAATGTCAAAAATGTTTTATTTTTATCTAATACAAGCCGCAACAGTAGACAGTGTTTACAACTCGTTAACCTTGAGATCTGTTGTTGGTCGACTTTTGCCGTACATTTATATGAACGTCTCAGGAGAAGTCGGGATTTTAGTAGGGTTTGTACAGTTTACCGCAAATACTCAAATATATCACGTTATTTTCGGTCATTTATACTATTATTTATAGGAAGGGATCGAAAAAACGATCCAAACAAAAACTTCTATTCGGTATACAATTACGAAATTTATTGAGGTCATAAAGAACGTTCAATAAAAGGTAAATAAATTTTACTCGAGTCAAATCCGTGCATAAAAAGTTAGTTAATTAGATAACAGCAGCAAAATATGGAAACGGTTATCTTTCTTCGCTCCTAATGCAGATTCGTATAAAAAAAAAAAAGTGCCATCAATACATTAGGAAGATCCATTGGCCATTCTTTGCAGATCTCTATCGAATTTTTCCTCATAATTTTACGAAATTATTCAATATATTGGACATGTTTGCGTATGTTTTAAATCAAAGATGGTCTCCTTCTTTAGTTGCTAATAAAAACAATTATGTAGAGCTGTTATATTATGAAATGGGAACGGATTTTTTTAATTAGAAGTTTCTTGAAAATTTCATTATCAAATTTCAAATATTGAATATCAAATTAATACTTGCCACTTTACATTACGAGTGATTGATACGGTAAAGTGAGATAGTCAAAATCATCGGAGCCCATTAATGATCAGGGGACTAAAATCACTGAACACTGGTTATGGTTTGGAGCTTAGCCAACGGGCTGGATTTTTCCGAGTTTTCTTTACGTTAATAACACCTAAATATGACCAGTTTCCCATGAAAGATCTCCCCGGAGGTGTTGCGTTGCGGTTTATGAAGAAACCAAACCAAACAAGGATGTATGGATGTTAGTGTATGTGGAAGGAACGGTTTTGTTCACCCTCTTTGAATAATAGTTAAACTCTTTTTTGTCGGATGGAAACTGTGTGAAAAGCGCAGGTGAGGAGATGGGATAAACACCCAAACTCCTGATACTAAATGTCAGATCGGGGCGGTGAGATCACGTCCATTCCATTATAATCAAAAAGGATAGTTTAAAGATAAGAAGGAGGCTGAGGACAATAAAGATCTCCATCTCTTACGTCAGGATCCTGACACCAGTCCTTGATAGAACACTAACCATTCAACAAACTCAAATTGGTCCAAGCAGTTAGTTTAATTTAATCCGAGTGGTACTAGGAGGGTGCTGTAAATATTCTAAAATATTGATTAAAAATCTCTCTTAAAATGATAAAAATCTTCTCTATCAAGTCTTATAAATTTCATTTCTTTATTTTTACTCTATCCTGAGATATTGAATAAAACATTCGCACATCACCCTCTAGAATTTTACCACTCCCATTTTTTTGCTTTCTTTTTGGGTTTAGGGTTTTCAATAAAAGATCTTCAATTAAAACCTGGCCCCTATTTAGATATTACACGCGTTAGGAAAAGCAGAAAACCCTAAGACAGGAACCCAAGACCATGTAGCACTGTTAGTGGTGAGGAATTGAATGGTATTGTTAGCGATAATATTTTAAAATTTCTTTATAATATTAATGAAACTTAATACTACAACTCGAATAAATATCACAAAGATTTAATGCATAAATTCATTTTAATTATTTAAAAGAGTAGAATGAAGTGCACTTCATAGGAAATTTAACAAGATTTTTTTCGATATTTTATCCAAAAATCAAACAATGTTTTGCGGCATTAATAAAAATTTCCAAGTCTTCCTCATTAGGATCGTCCACGTCCTAANTGTTATTAATATAACGTATCTCGTTTTTTTCTAGGTCACGTCACTGAAATCAAGTCAACGAACTGAACACTCGCTTAAGGTACGATCAAGGTTATTTAATGAAGATTTTACTCGTAATTAGTATTTACAACTAAATATATCCAAAGCAATTATTATTTTTTTTTAAAAATATACTCACTACTTGCTAAATAAGCCAACTTTGTAAACAGGCTGTTATTAATATAACGTATCTCGTTTTTTTCTAGGTCACGTCACTGAAATCAAGTCAACGAACTGAACACTCGCTTAAGGTACGATCAAGGTTATTTAAAATTACAGTCAATGTAAACCCCTTCTAAATAGCCCTGTACTCCTTACCGAAACGGATCTTTCACTCAGATTTCTCATTATTTATAGATGATTTTGATACAGAATGGAGCAGCAACCAGGGATAACAAATGGAAAATGCATCCTTAAATGTTCTACATAGGATAAACGATGATCTAAATCACGATTTGAATCCTGATCCCTACAGTATAAGGACGACATATTTGAGGAATCACGTCTGACGAAGGAGTTTGCAATACTAAATTAAGGTAAATTTTAGTTCTAACAGTTCAGAAAAAGTTTCATTCGAACACCATTAAAGTAGAGAATGGCCTTGTTCAATAAAATTCATATAAATTGTTTAATAAATGCATTTAACTTAATTTATAAAATTTTATTTATGATGAAGAAAGTTAACAAAAAATTCTACTTCTAGATAAAAATTCAATATTATTATCTAAACATAAATTAGAAAATATTATTTCCTCACCTCCGGCTATTATTAATTATAAGAAAGGAGTTTTCTTAAAATAAAAGGAGGAAAGACTTGGATCTTTCCTCATTTCATATCGCAGAATGTCACATTAATAATGCATTTAGTTCTCAATCATGTTTCAATGTATAACACCAACAGTTTATTTCCTCGCAGCCGTCGGAGTAGCTTTTATAATCTTCATATTCGTCTACTCGTTCTACGTCTTGGTGCTTGGTGCGAAGCTCTTCGTCTTCTCCAAATTCCTGTCGATTGATATCAAGAAGTACGGAAATTGGGCAGTCGTCACCGGTTCCACCGACGGAATAGGAAAGTCTTACGCTAAAGAATTGGCCAGAAGAGGCTTAAATATTATTCTGGTCAGTAGAAATGCGGAAAAACTACGAAAGACCGCCGAAGATCTGAAAAGGAGTTATTCGATCAACGTGGAAGTTATACAAGCCGATTTTACATCAGGATGGCAATTATACGAACACCTTAAGAACGAGTTAAAGGAAAAAGACGTAGGAATACTCGTAAACAACGTAGGAATCGCCGGCCCTTCGCCTTCTTATTTCTTATCGTTTAGTCAAGAAAACCTTCTGGATATCATCCACGTTAACATCGATTCAGTTTTAATAATGAATTGCGTGGTGTTACCAGAAATGTTGAAGAGAAAACGCGGAGTCGTCGTCACTATTTCTAGTTTGATGTCCATGTTTCATCTTCCTTTGTTTAGTTGTTACGGCGCAACTAAGGCCGCCTGCGAAGCAATAAGCTGCAGCCTTACCCACGAGAAATTGCCAGGTGTGGTTTTTCAAACGCTCATTCCTAGTTTCGTGAATACAAAGATTTTGGATTACAGCAACGGAATGTGGAATCGACTGTCGTTCTTCGCTCCCGATGCGGATTCGTACGCTAAGAGCGCGATCGGAACTTTAGCTTTATCAAATTATACAACTGGTTACTTGGGGCATTCTCTTCAAATTACGGGAAAATTCTTGCCAGAAATTATACAGAAATATTTGCATAAATGGTTAGTGTTTAATATGTTTGGAAAAGTGTCTATTCCTCAGTAATTAAGCTGGTTATTACTATTTTTTATAGAAGTTTATCCTTATTAAAGTTTCGAGATATTAATGCTTTTCGTTAATACGAAATACTTTTGTGTTAATGTTTTTTTCTCTATAAGACATGTATTTTAAATCGGTTCTGTATGCAAAATATGTAATTTTAAAGTGAAACTAATAAAATTATGAAGTAGATACGAAGGCTTGGATGTGTAAAATGTTAGAAGTGCGTTAGATCGAGGTTTGACTGTAATTTTATAAAACCTTGATAGTACCTTAAGCGAGTATTCAGTTCGTTGACTTGATTTCAGTGACGTGACCTAGAAAAAACGAGTTACGTTATATTAATAACAATCTGTTTACAAAGTTGGCTTATTTAGCAAGTAGTGAGTATATTTTTTTAAAAAAAAATAATAACAATTGGTTCGGATATATTTAGTTGCAAATACTAATAACGAGTAAACTCTTCATTAAGTTCTACCAAACTGAGATATGACATATCTATCTCTTCTCTATCTCCTCACCTCTTGACCTTTAACCATTAAAATTCAATGACATTGATCCCCGATACAAAAATCTCTCTGCAAAATTTCAGAATTTTCGGCGTGTTTCAAGAAAAATGAACAAAATCGCCCCCCGCACACACTATCATCCATACACACAGAAAAAAACCTTCATTTTTTGCATTTCTGTGTTTCAAGACCCCATCCTACTCTGTGTCATGACATAACGACGCCTATTTACGATATTTTCGGTTACGACAAGTATTATCAATACAAAATTTTGTCGTATTGCAACTTACGACGATTGTTCATTGTAAGTTGCGATACGATGCCTTCGTGAATCCGTGCCTATATGACTTAATTAAACCCATTAAGTATAGACTTTAATAAGTCCGGTATAACTAGGCAAATGCCTAGGGCTATATCTAATTTAATTTACTTATAAATAAATAAAATTAATTTTTTATTGTGAAGTCCGTATTACAACTTTTCCTAGGGCCTGAAATTTGCATATTCTGGCATTGGTCCTAATCGCTTCGAAAAGTTATAGAGCTACATGTTAAGGCTATGTTGTGCTAGACCTTAACATGTAACTGTNCTACATTTACTCATACGCGTTATTGTATTAATATTATTGCCAGTGTAAAGAGGAGGAATTGTAATTATAATATTTGTATAATTATCTGGATTGTTAATATAATTTATTATTCTATTAAACCTTATATTTATCTTCTGTTAAAGGTAGTACTTTTACTGACACAATCAACAGAATTATCTATCGTTTATCTTTACCTTTAGGATTTAAAGTATCATTGTTTTAAACGACAGTCGATTTCACATTTCGTTGCTGTAATCCAAAATCTTTGCAGATCTTCGGCGGTCTTTTGTAGTTTTTCCGCATTTCTACTGACCAGAATAATATTTAAGCCTCTTCTGGCCAATTCTTTAGCGTAAAACTTTCCTATTCCGTCGGTGGAACCGATGACGACTGCCCAATTTCCGTACTTCTTGATATCAATCGACAGGAATTTGGAGAAGACGAAGAGCTTCGCACCAAGCACCAAGACGTGGAACGAGTAGACAAATATGAAAATTATAAAAGCTACTCCGACGGCTGCGAAGAAATAAACTGTTTGTGTCATACAATGGAGCATAATTGAGAACTAAATGCGTTATTAATGTGAAATTCTGCGATATGAAAGGAGGAAGGATGTGAATATATTTAATGATAGCTGGTGATAATTTATAAAAACCTTTGTATACGACTAATGTCTTTATTGTTTTTTTTTAATAATTTATTCTTCTGTAAAGTTTTTTATTGAATCTCTGTTGCAATACATGTCAATTAATGTCTTTGACTTGCGTCATAAAAGAAATAATTGTTTTTCACAATACAAATAGGGGTTCGTTTTCCATAATTGTTAAATACGTTAAGAAAACCTGCGAAACCCTTTTAATTAATTAATTGCCCGAATCCGACTCGGGTGAGAGAGTACATTTGTTTTAATTAATCTTTGGTCAGTGGTCGCGAACTTCACAGACGGAATTGGAAAGTCCAACGCCAAAGAATTGGCAAAAAAAGAGTGAACATGCCCAGTATAATAACCTTGAGCAAGATGCCCTTATTAGCTGTTACGGTACATGTAAATCTACTAGTTAATAAATTTGTTCGGCTCTTGCTTAGGAAAATTTAACAATTAAATCGTCTTTCAAACTCTCATCCTTTCTTGTATTACTACACATTTGTTAGATTACAGCAGCAAAGTATGGAACCGGTTATCTTTCTTCGCTCCTAATGCAGATTCGTATGGAAAAAGTGCCATCAATACACTAGAAAGATCCATTGGCCATTCTTTGCAGATCTCTTTCGAATTTTTCCCCAGAATTTTACGAAATTATTCAATATATTGGACATGTTTGCGTATGTTTTAAATCAAAGATGGTCTCCTTCTTTAGTTGCTAATAAAAACAATTATGTAGAGCTGTTATATTATTAAATGGGAACGGATTTTCTTAATTAGAAGTTTCTTGAAAATTTCATTAGCAAATTTCAAATATTGAATATCAAATTAATACTTGCCACTTTACATTACGAGTGATTGATACGGTAAAGTGAGATAGTCAAAATCATCGGAGCCCATTAATGATCAGGGGACTAAAATCACTGAACACTGGTTATGGTTTGGAGCTTAGCCAACGGGCTGGATTTTTCCGAGTTTTCTTTACGTTAATAACACCTAAATATGACCAGTTTCCCATGAAAGATCTCCCCGGAGGTGTTGCGTTGCGGTTTATGAAGAAACCAAACCAAACAAGGATGTATGGATGTTAGTGTATGTGGAAGGAACGGTTTTGTTCACCCTCTTTGAATAATAGTTAAACTCTTTTTTGTAGGATGGAAACTGTGTGAAAAGCGCAGGTGAGGAGATGGGATAAACACCCAAACTCCTGATACTAAATGTCAGATCGGGGCGGTGAGATCACGTCCATTCCATTATAATCAAAAAGGATAGTTTAAAGATAAGAAGGAGGCTGAGGACAATAAAGATCTCCATCTCTTACGTCAGGATCCTGACACCAGTCCTTGATAGAACACTAACCATTCAACAAACTCAAATTGGTCCAAGCAGTTAGTTTAATTTAATCCGAGTGGTAATAGGAGGGTGCTGTAAATATTCTAAAATATTGATTAAAAATCTCTCTTAAAATGATAAAAATCTTCTCTATCAAGTCTTATAAATTTCATTTCTTTATTTTTACTCTATCCTGAGATATTGAATAAAACATTCGCACATCACCCTCTAGAATTTTACCACTCCCATTTTTTTGCTTTCTTTTTGGGTTTAGGGTTTTCAATAAAAGATCTTCAATGAAAACCTGGCCCCTATTTAGATATTACACGCGTTAGGAAAAGCAGAAAACCCTAAGACAGGAACCCAAGACCATGTAGCACTGTTAGTGGTGAGGAATTGAATGGTATTGTTGACGATAATATTTTAAAATTTCTTTATAATATTAATGAAACTTAATACTACAACTCGAATAAATATCACAAAGATTTAATGCATAAATTCATTTTAATTATTTAAAAGAGTAAAATGAAGTGCACTTCATAGGAAATTTAACAAGATTTTTTTCGATATTTTATCCAAAAATCAAACAATGTCTTGCAGCATTAATAAAAATTTCCAAGTCTTCCTCATTAGGATCGTCCACGTCCTAAGAGAAGAGAACAAAATAAATAAATAATAATTATTATTATAAATTTTAAAGAAAAATATTATTTATTGTGTTTGTATATGGCAACGTGACATATGTGAGGTCTCTTTCAGGGAAGACTTTCTATGGGTCCTTATTTAGATGTGACCATGTGACCAGCCCATTAATATGGCCTGAACCAAAGCGTTTATAAGGGGGAAAGGTCCTTAAATAACGCTTAAAAGGAGGGAGAGACGGGAGAAATTGAGCTTCACAGCTTACTATATACTTGAACTTGAAAGTAAAGTTGAGATAGCTGTCCTAGTTGGACTTAGCCATGTGGAAAGGGAAGGTTATAGAGGGATGAGTGAGGGGTAGAGTGGGGAATGGGAGGTAATGGGATAAAAGAGGGGAAAAAGAGGTAGAAAGTGGAGGTAGAGTTTGGGATCATAATCCTGATTAGCATCGCACTTACAAAAGAAAACAGTAATTGGTGCAAACAACTTACAGATTGCCTTTCCGGCTAGATGGTTACAATAGTAAATACAGAATAAAGTGTACATGGCAGTGGCCTGTCGCCACTGGTAATCCCGACCGAAAAATACTACACTAAACACAGGTATTACACAGATAGAATGTTACAAAAAGGACAATGTTATGTTAACAGAAGACCTTGGTGATAAGACTGCTGATCGGAGCAAAGCACAGAGGGTCACAGATGCAATCTAAGTCCAGTACAAGAGATGCTACGCGTGACACTATGGGAAACACCTACAGAGTGCAAGACCATAGTTGCACAGAAGCAGGCAAGCTTACCATATACTGTACAAACTTCAACAATGGAGTTTTATCCACCAGAAAAATATTAAATAATATTGAAAGTTTATTCATATGAATATTCACTTACTTCTATTCTATTTATTTATTGGAGTGCTCGTGGATACACGATATTTTTTATTTTTCCGTCTGATGCGTACACGAATAAATCGGAAGGTTTTCCGACGCGTGAGCCGGGCCACATACACTTGTCCATGTGAGAAGCACTGATTCTCCAAATTTAGCCCACACACTCGCAGCGATTGTCAGAAGTGCGATATTCCTCATTTTTATATATTTTTAAAAATCCTTTATAATTTTCATTATTTAATTGCTCCTTCCTCTCTTCCTTGGCA